GGCTTCCACCACTTATTTATTTTAACCTCGTCATTTTCAAAGTTGATACATCCCGCATTGAGCATAACAGAATCTATATGAAAGCTGTCTCAAAATCAATTTGAATGTTATCAATATTTCTTGTCTTCTGATTGTCTTTTTTTTTTTTTGGATTAAGGGACTGCCATACATTCAAAAACTTACTTAAGAATGAATGCTGGATTTTTAGCATTTAGAAAATTATAAAATATATAAAAATACCTCCTTGAGTACCTGATTAGAGTTTTCTCCTATCTACAAAGATGGAATTCTTTTCAAATTGCAGCCTTAATGTGTGTCTACAACAGTACACTGCGATATAACCTATGCTGGTCTCACGAATGACCTGTGATAAAATATTCTACTCCCAGTATTTTCACATTGCGTAGGGAAGCAGTTTTTCAGCTTGGGATTTGATCAATTGCCCTCTGTATTTTGAAATTGGCTTAAGTATTTTAGCTGGCCATAAATGATTAGGAAATTTAGATGACCGTTCTCCTCTGAAGCAGAGAGTGAAAATGAAGTTGTTTGTTTGTTTTTTTAAAGTTGTCTTGTATTGCAAGACTTGTTGGCATGACAATTCCAAGCTCAGTGCCAAGGTGGCAGCTGCCCGTCAACTACCATGTGTTTAAATCAATAAGAACCTGAAAATCATTTCAGATTTTGTATCTTTGCTTTATTCTTGCTTCGAAGTAAGAATCTGCTGTTACTCACAAGACAGTAAGGTATTAAAATTACACACACACACAACATCTGATTCTGTGTACAGTTCAGTTATTGACATTGTAAATCTGTTTTCTTTTTCTTTTTTTTTTTATTTTGACTTTCACTGTTTCATGTTACTTAGTTTTTGACCTAGAGGAAAATCAGCCAACATTAGGGTCACACCTATACTCCTTCGTCAGTGTTAACGGGGTGAGCAGTTTGTTCACTGAATGGGGTAGAAACCAAGCATATCCGTGGTTTGACTGTGACAGTGTGGTGACAGAATTATAAAAACCCACACTGGAGTTTGCAAGGCCTGCAGAGGTTACAGCTGCATGCAATTTACAGTGAAGAGCTGCGTGCCGCTGTCCCTACACACGGACACCCATTCTTTCCAAGACCTGACGTTTCCCACGTGCGGGGCACTGAGCTGGGTCTGGGGTCCCCGTGGCGCTTGGCCGGGGCGGGGCGGGAGCAGGCGGCCGCGAGGCACCCTTCCCAGTGCCGCCGCCAGGGGGCACGCGCGAGGCGGCCCGGGCAGCTTCGCGTTTTGGCCCCTCGCGCGGCCAGTCGGCCGGCGCCGGGGCGGGAAATTCCGACCGGACCTTCGCGGCCGCGGGCTCCTTTGTCCTCGGGCGCCCGCCGGACACGCCTGCCGCGG